TCTCGCTGCCGTTCTTCCCTCTTCATTAATCTCTGCTTCAGCTTCCTCACTCCCAGCCCCACATTTGGCTCCTATCCCGAGGCCGCCCATGGCAAAGGGATCCTGCAATTCCCCTGCACAGGTGCAAAAGCCCTGACGTTGCCGTTGGCCCCCGGACACATCCCCCAAATGCTCTGTCTCCTTCACCCGCTGGAAATAATGCGTTATGGCAGGTGGAGGAATGCTACAGACTCAGAATATCTGCTCGGGGGGGAGCGACCTACTGAGCAAACTTCCCAGCACCTGTTTTGGGGCAGAACCTCTGAGATTTTGCTTCCCAAACTGCAGAGAGCGAAGAAGAGGCCTGGAAGATGGCAGGCTTGAGGACCTGCATTTTGCCCCTTGTGTCCTTGTCTGGTGCTCTCCAACATGCTGCAATCAAACGGGTAAGGATTGAGGTCTTCCACATGTTCTCCAGGAAAAGCAAGGCTTGCAACACCCCGTCTTCGTTGCTTTCCATCTTTCCCACTGCGTCTTGCTAGTGGGTCCTGCTCCATTCCTAGATGAATTTACTCTGCCCAACGAAGATGGAGGAGAATTACTTTAATTTATCCTTGAATATGAACTTAGCTAATTCTGCAGATCCCAATCAATCATCAACCCAAGATAGATGTCACGGGAAATGCATACATTGGAAATTGCGCAGTGTATCCATGGTAGCAACATCTGGCTGGCCTTGTTTGCACTCAGAAGCCGAACAGGGTTGGGCCCTTGTTAGCTCTTGGATGGGAGACCATGAGGGACTCCCAGCATTGTAGGCTGAAAAGTTGAATAAATATCTCAGAAGAGGAGGTGCGCCATTTCCGCGTTCTGCCAAAGAAAATGCATGCATCCACAAAGTTATAGGAGATGAACTTGGCTTGAAGGAGATTTTATAAATATTAGGGGAAACCCTGTTATTATCCTTGCTACAACTCTCCGTTGAAAATGCAAAATGTCCATTCCTGAAAATAATAGATGAAATGCATTAACCGTTTGCAAAGAGTGCCTTAGCCAAACATTTTTTAAAAAGAAACATGCTATTTTAGAAAAACATGCTCTAAAATGGAGGGATAATAAATATATATATATATTTTTAAATAACACTTGCGTTTGACAAACTGAACCCAACAGCTTTACCCAGAGGAAAAACTGATTGAAATTGACATGGTGGACAGAGAGATCTTCCCAGAGCGAGACTAAGGAAACGCGCTCGCCTTGCAGACATGTAGCGAGTGTCCGAGATAAGCTGAAGCTGTGTGCAAAACGGGGAGCTGTTCACCTTGCGCAGCTGTGGAGGAAAGTTCACTCTATGGCATTTTTCATTCCTTTGTTGCATTTAATGGGCATTTTTCATTCCTTTGATGCATTTAATGGCCGTTTACCCTGCTGTTTAATTCAAAAGGTGCCTACGGCACCTTCCCAAGAACAATCGCTGGATGGCTCCTGCCTTCAGGGTTACAATAAAAAGGGAACTGCACATGTGGGAAAGGGGAGAAAGGAGGAGAGAAAGAGGAAGATCAGGTGCTGCTTTTAAAGACCCTTTTTCGCCCAACTGGCTGGGATAGGAATGGTTGAATACGTGGTGTTCTCAGAGCTTGGTTGTTTTCCTTCAGACATTTTGTCACCTGGTTAGATAACATTGTAAGTGGTCATGAAAACGTGTGCAACCAAGTCCAGTGAACACCAAGAACCCAAAAGTTCGACCCTGAGCTTCATATATTCTCCAGTATTGGAAGTGTTTGAGGAAATGGTTGCTGTCAGGTAGCAACTGAAGGAGAGAGAGAGGAGATGTTGGTCTTCCAGCTTCTCTTCCCTTCTTCTCTGCAACCTGGTGGAATGACTGTCACAAGGCGAGAGGAGAAGACAAGCCAGTTGCAGCTGGTGCTTCAGTAGAGATCTCACCCAGCTTAGGCTTCCAAAATCATCCCAAGTTATGTAATGACTGTGGTGCCTGTCACTGCCACCACTCCTACCTGATCTGCTGCCATTGCTCAAAGATTATCTTTGCAATTTCCTGCCCATGTGAGATGTTTAACATAGAAGAAGTTAACATACAAATTCTAGACAAGGAGGAAGCCTCTGGTTGTCGTCCTCTGTAAAACCTAGGCAAAATGGAAATGCAATGTGAATCATGTTTCATTAAACTGTATCCTTTTGTGTTGTCTAAAATTATGTTCTGGGAAGAAGGGATCACACATATTATTCCAACTTCAATATTTGCAAACATCCATTTTTTTTAGCTACATACCTATTACCTGAAATGGATCACTGGACAAAGGAATGAATTCTCCACACCTTTCCTCTCCACGCTGATCCTTCAACATTGGAAAGATAAATTTATGGCCTCAGTTATTCAGTGGATGAAGACCTGTTAGTTGTGACTTATGAAAGAGTTGCTTATAGAGAGAGGTTATATAAGACAACCGCAGGGGAGAAGCTGTTGTGTAAAACTTTATATACATGTAGGAAAAGCCTTAAAATTTAACTATGTGGTTGTCTCTTTTGCATCATGTTTAGAACTTAAAAAGGAGACAATAGGAATAAAGAAAAAGACAAATAAGAGCAAAAGATATCCATCAGAGATGAATCTTTCCCAGCTTTGACTCAAGATGTTAAAGGTTGAGCCTGGGATCTTTGACAGCTAAGTATGGGATCCATCAATGAGCTGTACTTTCAAAGGATCTATTCCCCAACACATAATAGAGTTAATGCCCCCCCTCAATCATTGGGAATCTAGAGAAATAACTTCATTTTTGTCAAGGGAAATGCATAACAAGGGCACTGTTTGCACAGGATGCAAACTGGGTCACAAGAAAAATTATTGTGTTGTGCAAACAGCTGGTGTGAGATGGGCACCAAATCTGGAGATACCTTGAGGCTTTTTAAAATAATGATACAGGTAGTCCTTGACTTAAGACCATTCATTTAGTGACCATTCAAAGTTACAACAGTGCTGAAAAAAGTGATTGGTCCTCACTCTTATGACCATCTCAGTGTCCCCGCAGTCACATGATCAAAATTTGGGTGCTTGGGAACCGGCATGTATTTACAATGATTGCAGCATTCCTGGGTCACATGATCGCCATTTGTGACCTTCCCAGACAGCTTCCGACAAGCAAACTCAATGGGGAACCATGTGATTCTCTTAACAACCACATGATTTGCTTAATGACCTCTGAAAAACTGTTGTAAAATCAGCTTGGTCACGGGATGCCTCGCTTAATGACTGCACCACTTAATGAATTTTCAGGTCCCTATTGTAAGTTGAGGACTACCTGATAACAACAACAACAATAATAATAATAATAATTTATTAAATTTATATGCTACCTGACTCCCAGCAACTCTGGGTGGTTTATTTTTTATTGTATTATTGTATTTCTACTGTTGCTTTTATTCTGTATGCCGCTTAGAACCCTTTGGAGTGTAGGTGTTTACAAATCTTTCAAATAAGTAAATACATACTCAGCCAACAATTGAATTAGAGGGGGACCATTCTAGCCCAAAAAAGCCCCAGGATAAATGGGGGCTAAAATACCTCTGGAAATCATCTGTCAGGTCAACATGGATGAGAGCGTTAACAAAAACTCTCTTCCTTCTGAGACAAAGTCCTGGGTTGGCCCTACAGAACTAGGACTCCTAAGAACTCTAAGAATGGATGGATGGATGGATGGATGGATGGATGGATGGATGGATGGATGGATGAATATAGCTATACCTATATCTATAAATTAAAACAGGAATAAACAGGGTCCCTGCTCTCTTTGTCAAATCCCAGGAGGTCACTAAGCACATGCTTCTGGTACACAGTTACAAGTATTTTCCTCAGAGTAGCAACTGACTGGATCAACCATGTTGTGAGAACCTGGCCAGTCAGTCAATCTTTATTTCAGCCAATGACCTGCATAAAACAGAGGCTGTCAAGTAAGCAATAAATAAAAAGAAAAGATGTCAGAGAACATACTCTCAGGTGACCTCCTAGATATGAATATTTATTTATTTGTTTACTATTGATTTATAATAATCATTTAATGATTTATAATACATTTATACAGCCACCCATCTTGTACCGAACTCTGGGTGGCTCACAACCAAAACAGCATCTATGTACAATAAAAATATGAATATAATATCAATATATCATATTCTAATGGAATAATATAAACACAAAAGCTGTAATCCTAATGCTAAAGTCCTAATATTTATTTATTTATGTATATATAAAATTGGTCGCCGCCCATCTCGTTAAAAAACGACTCCTTTAAAAAAATAATAAAATAATAAAAATAAATAAATAAAATAATAAATAAAATAATAAAAATATATCCCTTAAAGCTAAAACCGTGATCTAACAAAACTAAAAGTCAGAGTCTGGAAAATTAGTGGCATGGAAATTCTGCATTTAAAACTACTGCACATGGTCAAAGGGGAAACGTAAATCAGCTTGGATAGGCAGACAGTAGAGTCCTTTAGCATCTATCAGTTATGTCTTTGTATCAGTCAGCGAGTGACAACAGTCAAGGTGTGTCAGCTCCCACCTAATTTTGCAGGTGCTAAAACATGAATACTGTACTCTGAATTGATAACTGACATTCCTTTTTCGAGTCGCAAAGTGGGATTGAAATTTTTGCCCCATTTTATTGACTTTGGGGAGGGTTGGGGCTTCAGCAGCATGGACTAGACCAGTGTTTCTCAACCTTGGTGACTTGGAGATGTGTGGACCAACTCCCAGAATTCCCCACGCCAGCCATGCTGGCTGGGGAATTCTGGAAGTTGAAGTCCACACATCTTCCTACATAGACACCACAAGTGATCTGGTAGGCCTGCAATTTGGACCCAATGCACTATCCTGCTGTAAATGCACTATTTTGACTTCTCTCCTTTCAGAGTAAGCTGCAGATCCAGCGAGCTGAGGAGAAGGGGTGAATGCCTCGTGCCCAGCAACTGATCCCTGGAGTTTGGGTTTGTTAGGAGCAGCCATGTCCAAGGATGAAGCAGGCTGCAAGCTGGCTCCAGTCTACAAGCACAAGGAACGCAAACCGAAGAAACCCCATTATATTCCCCGTCCCTGGGGAAAACCCTATAATTACAAGTGTTTCCAGTGCCCGTTCACTTGCATGGAGAAATCGCATCTTTACAACCACATGAAGTACAGCCTCTGTAAGAATTCCTTGTCTCTGCTAATCGAGTCGGACTGGCCTTACAAGAAAGGTGGTCTCCTCCATCCAGAACTCCGGCTGTTGCAAGCCACAGAGGCCTCTCGGGTTCGTGGGAGGCGGGAGGAGTCTGAGGCCTATGACACTATGGTGATGGGGGCCACTAACTCCAAACATGCAGCAGACAGAGATGACAGAGAAGGCGGGCCTCCAGGGACAGAAGACATGACCTCCTCAGAAAGGATGAGTGATGAAACCAGCCAATTCCAAGAAGAAGAAGAGGAGGAGGAGGAAGAAGAAGAAGAGTTGTCTAGGTTCTTGCAGGAAGTGGACAGAGGTGAGAAGAAGGAGGTGATCAAGGAGACCCCATCTGCTGGGGAGTCTACCGAACCTGATGTGAACACCCTGCTTTTTCAGTTTAAAAACAAGCAGGACAAGGCTTCTAAAGACCCCACGCCTGACTTCATCATCACGGATGTTTTCTCCTTAAAGAAACATGTGTCCAAAGGAAAGGAGGTGGCCTCTGTGGAGTTGGACACCAAACCAAAGCACTGCAAAGTGTCCTCCAAATGCTCGGGAAGCAGCGGGGTCTTCATGGAACAATGGAAGCTAGTTGCCAACGGGCAAAGGAGAAACACCACTGGGGTTCTGACTCCGTGTGCAGATAGTAACATCATCCCTTGTTACCCTCCTCCAGCTTATGGTGACTTCCATGAACCCCAGGGCCTCAACCTCTCTCTGCTGGGGATCAACTACCCACTGGCTCCCAATCTCTTCTCCTATTTCAGTCCTTCGGTGACCAGTGGTACCACTTCGCATTCCCACTTGGCCCAATTTCCTTTCCTGGCTTCCACAGCCCAGCTGATGCACCCCCATTCAGCACATTTCCAGCCCTTGCAGAACCCCGAGAGATCCACTTTCCTCCCACGTTTCTACTATCCATTGCTCTTCGAGCATTCCTTCACTTCAGCAGAAAGCAAGATGGCTTCCACCAAGCCTGAGGCTCAGCAACTGCCTGTCACAGCCATACCGGCTCCCCTCCAGGCCCAGACCTCCACAGAGCCCCCGAAAGGAGGGGTGTTGAAAGTCCCAGTGCTGAAGACAGGCCTTCCTTGGGTGAAAGGTTTCTGTGAAGAGCCTGTTCCCGAGCAAAGCCACAAAAGATTGCTACTCCAGGAGGAAGAAAAGAAATGGCTGGTCCATGAAAGGGAAAGCTACTCATTGCTGGCTGCTGGTCACCTCTGTAGGAAGTCATCACCTGATGCTTACCAGGGTCTCATGGGCATAAAAGAGGGTGCTGCTGTCCTCCCCAACAGCATCAAGAAGGCAGAGCTCCCAGGAGCAGCTTGTTTGGACAGTGGTGGAGTCACCACAAGTAACCTGAAGAGGAAATTTGCAAAGAGTGGCCTTGATTTTATAAGCTCCGATATGGCAACACCTGAAAAAGAGACCTACCAAGCCAGGTATGACGTGATCTGCTTTCTCCAGTCATACACGTTGCATAAAGTATATTTTCTGGCTGGGATGGGCAACCTTTAGGGATAGAGGTCCACAATTCAGCTTCCCAACTCCCAAGTTTTGGCATCCCTGGGGGCCATCATGACCATTTTGATGCTTAGTGCACCCCCAGCTCAACAACCAGTCTGAGATCACACCACCCAGATTCAAACTGAAGTTTGGGTAGTCCACTCTCCAGGAAACAAGGAGCTGGGAGTAGATCATGGATTAACCACTTTTTCTCTATGGCTTTGTGACATTTTCTCCCCACCTGTGCCATGTATGCAGAAGGAGAAGGCACCTCTCCACACTTTCCTCTGATGTGTGGGTAGAATCTTCAGCTTTTTATTAAAAACAACAAGGTTTTGGGGGGCACCAGCTGCTGACACAGACCCCTCAATGCATGGACCACAGGAAACAGAGAAACAAAGGCAGGTTGGATTAGATAGAAGCAAGACAGACCAAAGCTGGTATGCCTCTGTTTGTACCCATGGGGTATGTTGACAAACTGCCAGCTGTAGACTATAAGGAAGATTTTTATAAAGCCTGGCACTCAACAAGCTAATTCATTAACTGTGGTTTACCAACCCCAATGATTGGGTGTGATGTCTGAACACAACCACACTGTTTATGCTAGGGTCACCCACTGGCTGAATACATATAGCATATTTTGCCAGGCTATTGCAATCCTTTATGGCTACATTTTCTAACATTTGAAGCTGAGTTAAATTTCACTTTGGTTAAGACATTTGGTCAGATCAGTGGGTTGTACAAACTAGCTTTGTTGGTGATTTTATGGCTCAAGGCTTCATGCAAACCCAGGAAATGGATTAATTTGGTCATGGCATTAAATGCCATCAATGAATTTCATGGGTAATAGTGAAGCCACATCTCTCTCTCTCCCTCTTCCTGCCCCAACTCCATGTCTTTTTCTGCTGTACTAACTAATCCCTTGGCTTTTAGGGATGTCATGGAATCTTGCTGGAATGATGGCGAGATGGTTCCTGGTATGATCTGTTTAGTATGGGGAAAGTTCAGAATATAAGAAGTGGCCTTGTATGGTGTGCAATCACTAGCCTGTACTGATTGCATGTTTTCCTCTGCTCTACTCCATGTGGTACAATTTGAGAAAAGGAAAGAGAGCTTGCGTGCCCAAATGCACACTTCTTCCTTTGACATTTTGTTCTATTTTATTAATAGTTTCCTTCTGTCTCATTTTACCTTTCTACCAGCTCTGGTTTGCAAGTTACACCCATGCAACCTTCAAAGCCCATGGACCACTGGCAGGTAGAACTTCATGACAACCTCTCTGAAGGCCAGGAGAAAACTGGGAGCTCTGATATGATTACAGCTTCAGACCATCCTTTTTTAAAGCCCAGCAATGAACAAGCCATACCTGTTGGTCCAAGAGACCAAGAGATGACCACAGTGCTCATTGGGGATTTGTCAAAAACCTTAGAAGAGTATCAGGAAGTAGAGAAGAAACTCTCACATTTGGCAAAAGAGGACACTCCCGCACAGAAGCAACTTAGGGACCAGTTAGTCAAAATCCGGCAGGAACTTTTCCATATCCACCAGGCACTGGAGAAGACAAACAAGTTCAGTGAAGGTCCTTTGGATCTCTCACTGAAAAGGTCATCAAAAAGTCTGGAGAAAGGACACCAGGACAAGAAAGAGTCCAAGGTTGGCATCCAGGGTGAGAAAGTCGAAGGCAAAGATCTCAGTTCCACCAATAGATGTTTGGAGGTGTGTGAGGCTGGTCAAGAAGAGGTATCAGATTGTTTCCTTGAGACTCAGAACAAAACCATTGACCTGCTAATCAAGATGAGCCATTCCAAAAACCTCCGGAATTCCTCTTCTGAGACCCACCTGGGAGCTGTAATCAAAGCTGAAGTGCTTCCCCTCAATGTCCCACTAGAATTCAGGCATGTGATGGAACCATATTACAGCCATACCACCAAATGTGAGGCAGATTCCAGTGTCCTGCTCTGCACAGATGGAAGATCTAATGGCAACCAAGGCCCTTCGCTTTCTGTGACAGAAGAAGCCCCACTAGGGTGCCGGGCAATTCCATGTTCTTTGTCATGCAATCTGCCTAGTGAGACTGGTGAAGTGTAGAGTGCTTGACCACCCGCTCCAAAAAGTCCTTTTCACACTTGTCCTTTGAGCCAAAAGAAACAGACATTCAGATCTGGAAACTATCCGGTTCATCAATATAGTGTCTTGAACTTTGGGAGTCCAGATGGTTCATAAAGCATTTCTTGTCCACATTTTATGAATGACATGCAACTTGGGAAGTTCCATTTCTGCATTAGCATTTCTCATTGTATCCCCACTCTGCAGACCTGGACAGGGTGAGTGGGGTGGGAAGAGCGAGGGAGAGGTGACATTTTTCAAAAGGACAAGTGCCTTTGCATTTCAGAAGACCCAATCCATCTCTTCCCTTGTCAGTCAAGCAAGATGCATTTTCTGATGCTGAATCTTTGGGATCAAGCAGAACTATTTCTGGATTCCTTTCCTTTTTTCCAAGAATCCAGCTTCAAGGATAGTCCCTCCTGCCAAAATGAAAAACTGCTGCAAGATAAATTGTGGATTAGCCACAAACCCAGTTGCCTTTTTAACAGGAAAGTGGCAGTACCATTCGAAAAACTTGCATGAGAAATCATGGTCCTTCAGAATCCATTCAGTTGCCCAAGTTCCTTCTAAAGTTGTAGATCCTTAGGTGGATCCCATTCCTAGCATCTGTTAGAACTCTTTGTTTGGTTAAAATTCTTCCTCCTGAACTTACCTTATAAATTGTCTTAGTACCAAACAACGTTGAGGAAACTTGTTTTTTTTTGCCTGCAGCCTTGTGAAGGCTACAAAAGCAGACTTCTGTGCAAATATGAAGAATTTTCTCCTTCCTGACAAGCTTCTACATGAGAGGTCATCTTCTAGTCATGGCAGATTGGTTTAATCATCTCCCCAGGCACAATCATGCTAGCCATCTTGTGAAGGAGCTAGACCTCTCCAAGCAAAAACTCTGCCCTCAAATTAAAGTACCCTTCCCAAAATTTGGGGGGAAGGAGGACAATTAAACTGGACCTAGTCACACTTTCCATCTTCTCTAAGAAAGGATGATTTCAAGGAAGGAAGACAATTGGAGAAGCAGTTGACCCACTCGCCTTGTAGCTAAACAATGGTGAGATAGCTTCCTGAATTAAGGGTTTTCTGCATTCTTTGTTCTTTCTCTGAACCCTGCAAAATATTTGCTTACCAGAAGCATAAACGTCCAACCAGCTTGGCTAGCAACACTGGAATATCTACCCAAAACTAACATTAATCAGCAGAGAATTCAATGCCTTTGCTGAGGATGCGGTAATACACTTCTGCGGTGGAGTAGGAACACACACACAGATTAGAGTCAGAATGAAGGCATTTGCCACAACAGTATTCTTTTGCTCTCACAAAGGTTCCTCATCATCAGACTGAATACTGTTATGCCCCGATGATATTCCCATCGCTGCTCACTCTAATCATCTCTGAATGGAGCTGTTCAGTCAACACTGGGGCGAGATTCCACTGCACTTGTTGTGTAAACCAATGACAATCACCAGTGGAGAACCTGTTATGTTCTAAAGTTATTTATTTATAAGGTGGAATGGTGCTCTGAGAGGGAGGGAAAGGGTGGGATAAAGTATTCACATGCTATTTATTGTCCACAGTTGCAAATGTGTACAAAAATATAGAACAGTTAAATTAAAAACAGCTGGAAGATAATGTTCTAGCCTCTTTGCTAATGTTTGAACAGGAGATGTTCCTGTGAAGATGTAATATGGATTCTATTTTGTTAGAAGTACGATGTCATCGAAGCACCAATGCATGTTCTTGTCAAAATTCATCTAAATCAGGGGTCCCCCAATTCTTCAGCTCATCAACCCCTTCATGAAGTTTCAGATTGTTCAACGACCCCCAAACATTCATTACATGAAAATAATTGAATAAATATTACTTGAACTGATTGTACTATGAATAATAACAACAATAACGATAATGGATAGTCCCATTGACCCTTGAGGGTCGCTATTGACCACTTTGGGGAACTTGATCTAAGTCTTCCTCTTATGTCAATTTCCTTTAGCAAAAACAAGTGAACATTTAGGGTACGTCTTAGGGAAGTTGAACATACTGTATGTAGAGGTTGAGCATATGGGATGGGAATTGCTGTAACAAACACACAGGCAGGACTCTTTTTATTGCACAGATCCATCCACATAATGTAATCTCCAGTGCATGTTCTCTTATGATCTCAATTCCGCCTTGCCTTCATTCATTTATCTCCAGTCCCCCAACTGTTTCCTTAACATCCTTGCTCTCAATTTCCCATTCTTTCCTCTTCTCTGTATTTTATAATTCTTCCCATGGTACTCAAGTACCTCTAAAGCCAATTTATGTAATTTAAGGGTAGGTTTACATAAGTAATTTATTTTAGTGCAATGACTGCCCCATTCATATAATAACAGCAGCAATAAAAACATCTGCCTATCCCAGGTCCTTGGGAAGGATTCGATAGATGGATAAAAATGCCAAATCCAGTCTAAAGTTCATCTGACTGTATGACCAACCATGATCATCAACATCTAATAGATTGGTTTTACTCACCCCACCCCACAAGACTCATGCTTGAGCCTCCCCTCTAACAGTGTTTTCTCTTTAAAAAGGATGCCCTTCACTGTTTTTACAACCAATCTTTTGCAGAACTGTGACTTCCACACCCTGCCAGATGCAATATGTTTCAGAGTTGTGATATTACCAGTTTTACTTGGTTTGCTCCAAGGAGAATATATGTATATGTAAGCAAAGCAGGAAAAATCAAGCCAGGAACCTTTGAAATTGCCTAAGTTTAGGTTCTTTCGTGGGATCTGGGGAGGGGGTACCATGATCTCTGCAGTCCCCAAGGAATTGATAGGTTGGGTTGGGTTGGACTGGATTGAATTGGATGGGGTAGGACAGTGTTCTTTTTCTAACACATCAGATGCACAGGAATAGAACAGTGGCTGGAATCCAGGTGTCATCAATTTCTTGGGGACCCCCTCCCCAAATTCCATAAAAGAACCTAAACTTAGCCAGACTAAGTCAAAATCAAGTCTACCCCAAAACAAGATTCTCACACAGGGTCCTCTAACCGAGGAGAAAAGGAACCAGATTACATAAATACCAACAGCTGAATACTTTCAGGACCCAATACATTTCAGAGTTTGCTAGGGCAAAGCTTTCTTCATATTCTTGGCAGAAGATAAGGTGGGGGAGGGATGGTTGTGAGAAAAAGAGCACTCCTTACCAAAAGTCCCAATGCATTTCACAGGAATACCTCTTCTTTAATGTGGGGTAGGCACAGGCAGCAAACCTCACACTCATTAGCACTGATGATGTTACCTCATCAGGTAACGAAACATCTGCCAGCCAACCACCAAGCTCAGAGAACGCCAAGGACTCCATAATTCAACCCTTAACTACAGATAATCTCTCCTATTGGGACACTCTTTCTTGTACTAATTCTTTCTCCTCCCCTCCCCTCACTTTTCACCTCTCTGGTTGGCGTATTTCCTTTTGTGTTAACCCTTTGATGAATGGGACAATTGGCTCTCCATTTTTCAGATAACGGAAGGAGGTGTAGATGTGGCCCCACTGCTTCGTGAGCTGCGCTGGCTTCCTATAGGCTTCCCAGGTATAATTCAAGATGTTGATGATTAACTATAAAGCCCTATATGACTCAGGATTGGATTATCTATAGGACCGCCTCTTCCCAAGGATATCTGCCTGTTCTACCTGCTCCAATAGGGTGGGCATGCTTTGGGTCCCTTCCCTGAAACAATGCCATCTGACGGGACCCAGGAAGTGGGCCTTTTCCATTGTGGTCCCTGCCCTCTGGAATGACTGGGATAAGATTGGCCCCACCCCTGTTGCCTTCAGAAAGGCAGTAAACACTTTTCCTTGGGCCTTTGGGCCATGATAATTGGAATTGCCATATGAATGTGAGTTTCTGGTTGTCTATTAATGTCTTGGATTTCAGTTGAAGCTGCCATATAAATCGAATGAATGAATGGATGGATGGATGGATGGATGGATGGATGGATGGATGAATGAATGAATGAATGAATGAATGAATGAATGAATTGAATTGAATTGAATGCTTTCCCACCTGCCCTTCTCTTTCAAAGAAAACCACAACG